AAAAGCCTTATGCCTGTAGGACAATAACAAAAGACCTAACATTCTGTATCATCAGAGTCACAGAAAGAATAGAGTGGGGCTGAAAAGTTATTCTAAGAAACAGCTGAAAAATCCCAAATTTGGCAAATGACATTAACCTACAATTCAAGAAGCTAACAGAATTCCAAATAGGATATATACCCAAAGAAATCCATGCCAAGACATATCATAATCAAATTTATGAAGACTGAAGACAAAGAAAAAGCCTTTAAAGCAGCCAGGGAGAAACGATACATTACTTATAAGGAAACACAAATTCCAATAACAAAATGCTTCTCATCTGAAATCATGGAGGTCTGAAGGAAGTGGCACATTTTTCAAACGCTGAAAGTAAAAACTGTCAACCACAAATTCTATAAAGAGAACAGCTAACAAAATCTTAAGAACACTAAAAAACAACAACAACAACAAAAGGCAAACAACTCCACAGTTTATATCTTAGCTGTGAGGAATTATAAAATATGTTGATATCAACATATGAACAATTACTGGTTTCTCCTATAACAGTAATTAAATATTTGAGAATTACCCATCCCTATCACCAATGCGATTCACATAGGTAGATGCGTTAATGCATATTCCCCTCTTCCTTAATTCTCTTAGTTCAAAAGTAATAGTTTGGGGATGGGGGTGGGGAGCACAGTGGTAGAGCACATGCTAAGCATGCATGAGGTCCTGGGTTCAATTCCCATAATCGCCATTAAAAAAAATAGTTCTACCACTGTTCATGATTTTTTAATCAGTTTGACAGTGTTTGTTCTAGTTAAAGATTCCAAAGCTTATAAGCCTAAAATCAGAGTTATTTATTTTTAAAAGATACAAGATATATGTGCCTCAGTCGTATGAAATAAGATATATTTTAAACAGTATCTGCTAAAAAGGAAGTCTGAATGAACCTCTATAACCCTATTGTACAAAACAGAAAGACAGACACAAAAAATAAATTTACAGTTACCAAAGGGGAAAGGTTCAGGGAGGGATAAATTAGGAGTTTGAGATTATCAGACACAAACTACCATATATAAAATAGATAAACAGCAAGATCCTACTCCATAGCACAGGGAACTACATTTAATATCTTGTAATAACCTATAATGAAAAGGAATAGGGAATATACATGTATGTACAACTGAATCACTATGCTGTACACCAGAAACTAACAACATTGTAAATCAACTATACTTCAAAAAAAATTTTTTTAATATTGTCATAGCTAAACTATCTTAAAAGCCAAAGCATAAAGAGCAAATAATATTTCTATTAATCCACTCTAATTTATAAAGAGTGTGTGTGTGTTTAAAAGAAGAATGACTGTGCAAGTATGACTAGCGACCTGTTAAGCAGCAAAAGAGAAACAGCTGGTCAGCTTGCAAAACTGTGAATTCAAGATCTGTTTTACATTATTTACCAACCGATTTACTTAATCAATTTTTATCAGGTTTCTAAAATATACCAAGTACTGTGCAAGGCAGTGACGAAAAAATAAATAAGACATTGTGATATTATAAGATTATTATAGAATAGTATATTCATCCCTGGATCCTGGCACAGAGCTCCTAAAACCCTTGGAATTTCTTGATAGGGGTGAGTGGAACATTCTTTGTTATTTATAATAAGGCCCTTTCAACCATGTCTGGGAAGTTGGGGGCTGGTTGCCAGAGGAACCAACCTCTGACCTCTAGGAAGGGGAAAGAAGCTATAGATTGAGGTAATCACCAGCGGCCAGTCATTTAATCAAGTGTGCCTCTATAATGAAGCCTCCATAAAAACCCTAAATAAAGGGGTTCAGAGAGCTTCCAGGTTGGTGAGCACACTGAGGTGCTGGGAGGATGGTGAGCCCCAGAGAAGGCATGGAAACTCAGGGAAGATTCATGCCCCTTCCCACATACCTTGCCCTATGCATCTCTTCCATTTGGTTGTTTCTGAGTTATAGCCTTTATAATAAATGGGTAATGGTAAGTAAAGAGCTTTCCTGAGTTCTGTGAGCTATTCTAGCAAATTACTGACCTGAAGAGGGAGTTGTGGGAAGCCCCAATTTATAGCCAATTGGTCAGAAGTCCAGGTCACAACCTGGGACTTGTGATTGGTGTCTGAAGTCAGGCGGAGTCTTGTGGGACTGAGTCCCTAATCTGTGGGGTCTGCACTAACTCCAAGCAGTTAGTGTAATAATTAAGTTAAATTGTAGAACACCCAGTTGTCCGGAGAGTTGCGGAACTGTTTAATATGAGGGGAAAACCTACATATTTGGTGGCAGAAGTGTTGTGAATAGTGTGAGAAACAGCAGTTTACCTTTAGGCATAATCCCAGACCTCAAGCAACTCTTAGTCATGAGTCGTGAGAAATAAGTTAAATAAAATGTGGTAAGTGTAATAGGTACATGTACAAAGTATTAGGAAAGTAAGCAACTAACCATGCCAAAAAAAGTGCCATTTATGCTGATTTTTAAAGAATGAGTTAAATGCTATACATAGTTCCTCAGGGTTCCCACTCCCTCTTCCAGCTCTCAGCCCAGTTCTCAGCCTGAGCTGCATATCACTGCCACATGAGAAGTATTTTTTAAATGAAAAGGTCTGGCCTCACACCAGACCAACTGAATCAGAATTTCTGTGGTTAAAGCTCCCCAGGTGGTTTTAAAGTAGGGCTTGGATGGATGTGCTTGAGGCAGCTGAGTAAGTAGAGAAAAGAGAAAGGAAAAAAATAATCAAGTTTGAAGTACCAAGTGTCCAAGTATAGCTATCTAAAAGGCAGATGAAAATAAGAAACACCTGAAGTTCAAGAAAAATGGGAACTGAAAACACATCTTTGAAAACCATAAATATACAGGTGCTTCTTGAAGCCATGAAGGGAAGTGTAATCACCCCAGGAAGAGGACAGAGGAAAGAAGAGAAAATGAAATCCTAATGAATACCACATTAATCTGAGGGGGAAAAGAGGGAAGCATTAAGGGAAGGTTTTTGTTTTTGTTTGTTTTGGATGGTGAAAATGTGAGCATGTGTGCAGGCTGAGGGGGAGAAAAATGAGAAAATAGAATATCAGAGATGTTAGCCTCAGAAAGGAGGACCCTCTTTCTCTGATAAAAGGAAAGGAGAACAGAAATCAGATAGGTACAAGCACACAGAAAAATGACAGTCCCTTAAGAGTTCACGGCTGATGACCACCAATTCTGTGAAGCAGGAGGCAAAATTAGCAACGTATATAAGTCACGAGTAGGACAAAGAGAGGAAAATGGTAAAAATCTATAAACAGCCATTTAGGTTTGGGTACACAAGAGAAACCTAGGGAGTAGGTCAAAGTGTCTCCAGACAGTGTGAGTAAAGTTGGAATCCAAAAGTTTAGAATAGGACCAGCAGCTCGGTTACATGATTTCCTCCAGCCTGCTCTGGAGATCCCAGGAGCAGAAAAAGCCAACTGTTTGATTCATCCAGGCTTGGAAACCATCTGAGCAAATGTGGCAATAATGGCTTCAGGCCAGTAAATCGCTTTTATAATTTTTAAAAGTCAAACTTATTTTACTCTTCTAAAAAACTGACTATAGTTACTTTCCCTGATAGCCAGAAAGACAAAGGCGGGTGCAAGAGAATTCCTCTTTCACTCTTAGAGAACTCGTCAGAACTTTCAGTCCTAAGCATTTCTAATCCCTTCAACAGCTCATTCCAAGAAATCTGTATCTGATTCTTCCAGGCTCTCAAAGGATGAAAATACACTAGAGGACTGGACTATCCAGGTGGGAGATAAACACATGAAACACCTCTTATATACAATGCTATTTCAACTAGGAGGTAGAGGTATTTCCTAAAAGTGAAGGTTCAACAAACACTGAAGATGGAGAGGGGGAATTAAGGGAACAATTATATTGCAAAGATCGTTAAGAATCCTTTACAAAGCCAATTAATATAAAACAAAACAGGACACAAAGATAGCAGAATTCAGTTCTTCGGGATGAATGCAGTTGAGCAAATAACTGACAATTTAATCTCCCTATCACATTGGGAGCTCACTAATTCATCCTGCCATCTCCTATACCACTCTTCTGGTAGCACGTCAACTCCCTTTGGATACTGGACCTCTTGCCAGATCTGGAGAGTACAAAGGCCTGGAAGGAGGAAGGTGGCAACACGCCTAAACATCTGCCATGTGCCAGGTCCACTGTGTGCCAGCCTCTGGGCAAGACACTTCACGTGTTATGGGTGCAGCTCATTTAACGACGAATTCAGATGTTAAAACTACAGATCTGGCAATCAGGAGAGTAGGAGGGTCTGAAGGTTTAAGTGTAAAGATACAGTTTTAGGGACGATGGTTGATGAAAGTGAAGGGAGAAGAGGCGAGATGGGAAAGGAAGGCATCTGGGAGCAAAAGAGCAAAACCCAGGGACACATGGGATGGGGGTGGGAGGGCGCGAGTGAAATGTAGAGAGGATACGGTGTAAGGGGCATGTTTGGGGTGAGCCCGAAATGAAGCCGAGGTAGAGTTGATGGCCAAAGTCCGATCCCGAGGGGACTGAGGTGTCTCATCCCCGGAAGGCTCCCCGAAAGACTGCAAGGGCTTGGAAACGGTGCCGGCCCCGCGAAAGGGAGGAGGAGGAGGGGAGGGGAAGGGAAGGGAAGGGAAGGCAAGGGAAGGGAAGGGAAGGGAAGGGAAGGGAAGGGAGAGGGCGGGAAAGCTACCACGACGGGGCAAGCCGGGCCACGGGGAAGCCCGAGAACGGGAAACACCAGCGCTGGGGCCAGGGGTGCGGGTGCAGAAGCCGGGCCCGGCCAGTACGTGGGGCTCCGCGCTTGGGGGGCGGGGCTGGACAACTGCCCGGGAGCAGAGGGGAGATGTGCGGCCCGGAGGCGACTGCGGCCCAGGGGTGCCAGGACTGAGGCGGCCCGGACTCGGAGCCAGGTAGGCGGCGGCAGGAGGACAGCGGGGCTAGGGCGGCGCTCCGAGCGGAGCTGTAGCGAGCGCGGCGTCCCCCTTACCTGGGATGAGTGAGGAGCCGCCGCGCCGCCTTCCCGGCATCCTGGGCTCAGCCGCTTCTCCCACTGCCCTAGGTGGGGGCCATTCCGCCCTCCCCGGGAGCCTGCCCTCAGCGCCAGGAGCCAGCTGCTGCCAGCCCGGCCCGGCCCCGCGGACAGCGCCGACGCGACCCGCGCCCGCGGTCGCCTCAGCAGCGACTCCCGCGGTCGCCGCCTCAGCGCCTGCAGCCAGCCTCTGGGGCGGGCGCGGGATCACACGCGTGCAGCGATTGGCTACCCTGCGCCCGGCCCGGGCGATGTGTCAGGCTCTCTGATTCGTGGGTTCCGGTGGCTGCCCTCCGAGAGGGGCGGGGCTCGGCCTCGCGCCCGGTCCAGCAGGAGCCGAGGGGCGGGGTGGGCCTGACGTCACGGCCGCGCGGGCGGCCCTGCGGCCTAGCGTGTGCGCGCTCCCTGCGGGGTTCCGGGGACGCCACCTTCCTGAGCCGGTTGTTGCCGAGCAACGGTGCGCGTGACCTACCTGGAGGGGAGCCCCGCGCTGGTGGCGGTCCACGCCGCCCCAACTCCCAACGTGGGTGTCCTTCATCCTTGAAACCCTGGGACAGGACGAGAGAACGAGCTTTTCCAAGAAATCCCCGCTCTGCTTGTCCCTGCTTCAAATACTACCCCTGTGATTGCCGCTGGCAGTGGAGCTTTCATCTCGTTAGATGACTACAAAATGCAAATATCAAATTCCCACAACATTACATTGCACACCAAAGTGTAAATGAGTGATAGTAGATTCTGTCCCCAACACAGGGGCGGGGAACTGATACTTGAAAAAAGAGAATACTACGAAAGGAGAAAAGGGCCAAGAAAGAAGGGGGAGACGCTGGGGAGAGGGCTGTAATTTCACAACTGAAAACAACCGTCCATGTTCATGGTTCCTTCCTACAGTCATATCCACACCAGGTTCTGTCAAAGCAATTATTTCAACTATAGGAACATAGATTGGAAAAAGCATGGGCTCAGAAATCTAAAAGCTGTATGCAAAATTCCTGTCTACCATCTTGGCATGAGTTTTGTTATCTCCAGAGTGATGTAAAGATCAAGTGAGGGCCACACAAAAATTTGTGCATGAATGTTCACAGTAGCCAGTAAAGTGGTAATAACCCAAGTGTCCATCAGCAGATTAATGGATAAGTAAAATATGGCCTATCTTTACAATGAAATATTATTTGGTCATAAAAAGGAATGAAGTTCTAATACATGCTACAAAGGAGATGAATCTTGATAATATCATGCTAAGTGAAAGAAGCCAGTCACAGAAGACCACATTTATATGAGTTCATTTATATGAAATGTCCAGAATAGGCAAATCCATAGAAAAAGCAAGTATATTAGTGGATGCCTTGGGCTGAGGGGATTGGGGGAAATGGGAAGTGACTGCTAATGGCTATGTGGTTTTTTTTGAGGGGGGAGTGATTGATGAAAATGTTCTAAAATTGATTATGATGACTGCACAATTCTGTGACCATACTAAAAACCACTGAATTGTGTATTTTAAGTAGGTGAATTGTGGTATATGACTTATATCTCTGCAAAGCTGTTATTTTTTTAAAAGAGCAAATGAGATAACAAATCTCTGAAAGCCCCAGGCTGTGGTACCGCTCTAAGAACAAGGGCTCAGTATATTTAACAGTTTTCTCTTTATCCAACCGGCAAAATCTTGTAAGCAATTTGATCTAAGGAAATTTAAAGAAATACCCACCATGATATGTTTCTTTGGAACATTTAAATCAAATGAAGAAGATGATCTGATTTGACCCAAGCTGCTCTGGGGCAGCAGAAATGGACCCCTATGATCATACAGCTCATCAAAAGAAAATAAAGAACATCAGCAGGCAGAGAGCAAGAGGACAGGGAAAGCAGACCGCTCTCTACAAGCTGATTCTAGATGCACCCGAGGCAGCACCCAAAGTCACTGAATTAGTCTTTTAACATTAAGGGCTGTGTCCCACTCCACTTTCTGCATTCCAGACCCCTTCAGGGAAACAGCTCACCTTGGCCTGAGTAATCTCGAAGCCACTGCCAGCACCACAAGGCATTAATCCCTTAAACACAGCCCCTGCCAGCTTTTCTCTACAAGCCAGCAATGCAGCTGAGATGACTTCCACAATGCCCAGAAAATACTTCACCCACCTACAAGACCTGAAGAAAAAAAACAAAAGACAAAAACTGTGTAGCCAGATTGAGGGGCTCGTGATTGTATCTCACCTATAAACTCTGAGAACAAATTCCAGACGTGGGGAATTCAGTAAGAACAGGGGACATGAATCCCACTGTTGGCTCCCTGCCTGTCCCGTGGCAGGATGTCTCCTTGAGCAAGACAGCTTCAGGTCGTCCAGAGACCATACCGTCTGCAAAAAACTGCCCAAAACAAGGAACTGTTTGATCTGAAGCGGAGCTCAGGGTCATTTGGGAACAAGCCTTTTCTGCTTTCTAAATCTACCCCCAACCCATAGAGTATGTGTTAAGAAACAAAGATGCCAAAATATACTCTAAAGTGAAAAGAATAAAGTTAAAAACTGTATGTAATATTCCCATTTGTATTTTTTTCAAGTACACGCACACGCACGTGCGTGCTCACTTTGTTATTTTCAGAGACAATCTCCAGAAGGATGCACAGTAAACTGGCAACAGTGGTTGTTTCTGGGAGGAAAACTGAGGGACTTGGGCTCAGGAGTGGGAAAAACATTTATTTTTCACTATATTCTTTAGCACTTTTTGAAATTTTTGCCCTGTGCTTGAATTATCTATTTTAAGTGAATAAATACATTTTTAATTTTTCAAAAAGAATTCTTCTCTGAAAAACTCACAGTTCAAGCCTGTATACACACCTGGTTCACATGACGTATGTATTGTTCTGTGTCATTTAGTTAAGTGTCATACTGAATCTACATACTCTGAACACTCTGCATCTCCGTTCCCTCCCCAGCTCTACCTCTTCCAGGTGATCAGCTCCAGCTCAGATAACCTCACCAGAGGGTGTAGACAGCTTCACTGACCAATAGGCAATTCAAAGGGCTCAGAGACTGTTTCTTCCAAACAGCCCAGCAGGCCCAAGAAAAGAGAGGAAGTGGGCCAGTGCTCACGGACCCCTCAGTGGGTACCCAGAAGCCGCTGCCCCTGTTCTAGTTCAACTTTTGCATGGCTTCTGCCTTCAGGAATCATCTTCCAGCCAGAAGGCCTGGCCGAGAGTCAGGAAGGACACCTGACTCCAGTCATTTCACCTCCTGGAAGGACTGTCTCTGTGCAGTACACCTTCCGGCTTTGAGGAGACCTAAAGAGGAAGCCCAGTCCTCCAGCACTTTTATTTAGGGGGTGGGGTGCAAAATTGTTGGCTTTGGTTTTTGAAAAGACAAAAGAATAGCAGATCTCCCTTCACGTCACTTCCACTCCAGGATCTGACCTGAAGAGAGGATGGCGACAGAGGTGTGAGGTGGAAGGTGGCAGGGAGGCCCTCAGAGATGGAAAACTGGGGAAGAGAATCATGCTAGGTCCTACTTTTTTATTCTCTGCCCCAGCCCCAGGGAGCTGGAAATGAGGGGCAGGAGCAAGCAGTTTGGACACGGAAAATGGACAGGATGGGCAACCTTTGCAAAGCGAGTAAAGGAGCAGAGATTTTTCCAAGAGCACAGATATGGCCATGAGAGGAAGTGGAGACGTGGGGACAAAATTCTCAAGGGTAAGGGCAGAAATGGTGATGACAGAAGATGGTTTGTCTACCTGATCCTCCGTCCTGTCCCCAGCACAGGGCCTGGCCTTGGCTGAATGAATGAATGGCTGGGCGGATGGACAGATGATTAGCAAAAGCTGCAGCTACCAATGAAGATGCAGGCAGCAGGGCAAAGCAGGGAGAGACACGAGAGAACAGGAGGGCATTCAGGGTCCTGCCTGGAAGGGCAGGGAGACTCTAGGTGAGGGCCCCAGAGCCAAAGATCCTTGATGGGGAATTGAGGGTTAAACTGCCACTCGACTTAAAGTGACCCCTAAAGCCCTGGCTGACTTGAACCAAGATGAAACACTTACCTGCAAACAGCATCAAAGAGCCAATGAACTGCAGGAGACACCTCACAATTCTCTTGAAGCTTGTGGGTTGGAGGGATTTGAGACAAAAAGAAAATGGGGATACAATTTAAAGAAAAGGCGAAAAAATGAGCATGCCTCTTCCCTTTCCCCACCCCTAGATCCAGGAAAACTGGCCAGGTCAGGCCCCTCAGCCACATCATCATTTTAAAATGAGAATCCAGCCCAGCCTATGAGCAGGCATTTTCCAAATGGCTAGAGAATTCCTGCACCTTCCAAAAATACCTCTTCATGCAGTTCCTGCCAGGAAGGGAGGGCCACATGCCCAGGCTGGAGCCAACAAGTTGGGCTTCCTGAGTCCAGGAGTTTCCACCCCCATGCTCCGCAGACCCCAGATACAGGAAATGCCCACTGCTCCACGAGTAAACCTAGCCAGACAGCTCCTGGTGCTGAGCCGAAGACTGGGAGCAAAGCATCCTCTAGTTCCACTTACGACAAAAAAGATTAAGTGACTTCTAGGAGTAGTTTCCAAATCTAGCTATTCATATAAACCACCTGTGCAGCTTTGTAAAACAGGCACCATGCCTCTGGTCAGTTTTGTAAAGCAGAAGCTCTCAGGGAAGGAGTCCCTCAACTCCCAAGGGAAAGAGATGGGGGTATTGACTGGGAGGTGGCTCAAGGGGAACTACAGAGAGGCTAGTTGATGATTTTCTGTTTCCTGACCTGGGAACTACCCAGTTTGTTCATTTTGTGAAAATTCATCAAACTATGCACACGTGCACTTTTCTGTACATTTGTTACACTTCATTTTTTACAAAAACTCCCAGGGAAAAATCTGCTCCCCTACCAGGTTTCAGAATGACTGAATTGGAGGTCAAAGATGAAGGGTTTAGGTTACACAAAAGAGAGATGCTGGGTGCTTCTGAGGATTGGCTGAAGGAGCAACAGGTCTGCCTTCCTTCCTAGGCGAGTCTCTGACCCTCAGGGGAGAAAAGCTCCAGATAGGGGAGGGCCCGGGATGGGAGGTGCATCTGAGAGCCTCTAGACCTTCTCTGCCCATGAACGCTGACCAGTGACACCAGTGCAGACTTGTCCTTTGCCCTGCCTCTTGGACAGGGCTTGCTCAGGCCTCCTGTGATCTGAGTCAAGAGGGCC